CACAAATGTGTGCAGCTATCTACAAATGCACAGGACGGGATTCACAAATGCGTGCAGCTATCTATAAATGCACAGGACGCGATTCACAAATAAATGCCAGGCAAAGTTGTGGTTGTGACATAAATATATATTTGTGAATATGTTTTTTATTTGCAAATCTCATTTTATTTATTTGTGAATTTAATTCATGTTTGTGAAACTTTAAGATTTATTTGTGGATCTCATTCTATTTATTTGTGGATCATAATCTATTTATTTGGAATTAAGCAACAATTCTACCCCCATAATAAAAGCTTTTGAGAACAGCAGCCCTGAACAATGCTTATCAGAGGACAGAAAAAAACATATGTTTGAGTTATTTCACAATAAACAAATTGCAATCGTAACCTACATAGTTTGTACAATTAAATTTATTTAAATTGAACGTTGAAAGATAATATAGATCATGTTCTATTCTGTAATGTTAATAGAAATCATACACTGTCAGAACAAAAATGTTGCATTTTATGCATGCAACAGCCATTCACTGGCAGTCCCTTATGAAAATGAACCATGGTTTTACTAAAGTACTGTAGTATTTATAGATTTGAATAATGTGTAAACAAAAAACATATTTGAACCATTTGTAAACAAAAATATAACCTAATAAATTACAATTAAGGCGTATTGAATGTTAAAAATGCATTTTAAACAAAGTTAAGTGGTTATCATTACCCATTTTACTCTTAGTAATTTAATAATTTAATACATTTCATCATTTAAAAGTTTAGTTCAGAAGTATCGTATCGGTGTCGATATCGGTATCGTATCGAAAACAAAATAAGTGGTATCGCCCATCCCTAGCAGTGATCACATTACAGCCGTCAGACTACATTATGCATTAGGAATGATCTAGTACCACCTAGTGGTGATCTTTAGACAGACACCAAATGAGGGTTTTTGTGATTCTAAATGTAGAAGTTTTAAAACCATATTTAATAGAATTTAAATGTGATAATCGTAGCTCTCCGAACACAGTTAGAAACCGCAGGTGTTTTTATTATAGGTAAAATGAGACGGTGAGACGCACAAGTTTGAGTAGCACTTTGAACAACAACAAATCAAACGCCTGCTTCTAGAACATGTCAAAATAAATGCACCACTATTACATTTTTGTACTTTACTCAATTATAAAGACATTACAACTTTTTGTGTTTTTATGTCGTCGTGACATATTCTTTTTTTTTTGCATATATTTATATATATATAAATATATATTTAAAATTCGACTCAATTTTGCTTCGTGCAAGACTTTTATTATGCTTTGTTAGGAAATGGGATCGTGTCGACCCGGTTGTTCATGCTAATGTTCAGCTTTTTTTACAGTCTATGGTTCAGCTGCTGCATGCGTGGAAATAGACAGTGTATAAACTGTACAGATCGGGATTTCATGTGCATTATTGTCCAAACGTTTTCGCTACACACAGCAGAAATTAATAATCAGTGGTGTATTAGTGCCTTACAAGACTTTCCGGAAGTTTAAAAGTCAGCGATGATTTTGAGACTGTCAAACAGGGCATGCGTCCTCTCTGGATCAGCTCGTCTCAAAAGCACTTTGTCAACCTTCTTCGATGAGATGGGAAAAGCTGGTGTCATCCTAAAATCTGCGTCAACTGGCATATTTGAGAACCTGGCCTTAGAAGACTGGATTCACGATCGCGTCGATCTGCAAAACAGAAGCGTGCTGTTATTATGGAGAAATTCGCCCGTGGTTGTCATAGGAAGGCATCAAAACCCCTGGCAGGAGTGTAACCTGCCCTTGATGAGACGCTTGGGGATCCCGCTAGCGAGGCGTCGCAGTGGAGGCGGGACGGTTTTCCATGATTTTGGAAACATCAACATGACCTTCTTCACCTCCAAGAAGAAATACGACCGTCACAGAAATCTCAAAGTCGTTACTAGTGCATTAAAGACACTGAGACCCGATCTAGATGTCGCAGCAACAGACAGATTTGATATTTTGTTAAATGGCCATCACAAGATTTCAGGCACTGCTGCGAAATTAGGCAGAACCTCTGCTTATCATCACTGTACATTACTGTGTTCTGTTGACCGTTCAGTATTGTCCTCAGTCCTGAAGAGTAACACTTCTGAAGTTATCAAGAGCAATGCTACCCCAAGCGTTCCTTCCCCTGTCAGGAACCTTTTGGATGTGGATCCCACTCTTGACTCCAATACTATCATGGATGCTATTGCTTCCCAGTACAATAATGAATTTGGCTTTGACAGCCCAGTCATCACAGTGGACCCCACTCATGAAGGTCTCATGCCTGGCATTCATAAGATGGCACAGGATCTGCAGCCGTGGGAGTGGATTTATGGCAGAACTCCAAAATTCAGTGTTTGCACATCTTTAGTGGTGGATGATGTGAATATTAAGCTTGATATGGCCATCAAAAATGGTGCTGTAGAACAATGTGCTATGGAAATCCCAGAAGACTGGCTTCCTTCAGAGATGGTGAATGAGTTTACATCAACTCTGAATGGCAGCAAATACTGTCCGAGTGAAGCCGCAGTGCTGGTGGCGGCGTTCATGAGAACCCATTCAATGACAGATGATGTTGCTGAGAAGATTCATAGATTGTGTGCTGGTGTGGTTTCAGTAATGTGAATAAAAACGAAACCAGAAATGTGATACTTGTTTCAAAAACTTTAAAGTGGTCTCCTGCACAGTCACACTTTACCCACAGATACAGAGATTTAAGATGAAAAACACAAATAACGCCACTAATTCTATGATGAAACTCTTGAAATACTTTGAAATTTTAAGCAATCATTTCTGCCGACATAATTCACATATAATTAATTGGAATGATTACATGCTTGCAAGCATTACTAGAGCAATAATAAAGTAAAATATTATTATTAAGATATTTTTATACTTGAATACGAATAAATAAATATAAATTCACATTGTATTAGATTATTAATAATACTATATTGATATTAATCCCCCCCAAAACATTTTTTTGAATCTATCTATCCATATATCTATCTATCTATCTATCCGTCCGTCTGTCTGTCTTTAGATTAAATATGTAAATTATATATACACACATATGTGTGTATAAAATCATTTAAAGTTTGTAAATGATGGTTTTGTCATATATTTAGCTAGTAACATGTTTGCCATGCGCAGCACTCCTGTCGCTCTCCTCGTGACGTAAAAGCGCAGTTTAGCACGGACTAGTATTTCATATGGATGGCCAATAATTTCCTATTCTTAAAATAGCTTCTTTGTCGCTTGTGGGGTTTATTAAAACATGCACAAAAACGAAATTATACTCAAGATAAATATACAGAAATTGCATACAAACTGCAACTTTTCTCTTTATATGCAGCTGTATAAACGATCCATGTGCGCTAAAGATCATTGTCAAGTGCGCATGCGCAATGCGAGCACGACTAACTTGAAGCGCTAATACCGACTACGCTGCACCGCAACGAGGAGGTTACAGCCATACAGATATAATGGGAAAGAAACAGAAAAATAAGGGAGATGACGGGTAAGTTAGGACACGGGCGAATGCGTAACACGGACTCCGTTAACAGCAAAACGATCGTGCTGTTTATAGTCATGACAGGTTAATGTGTGAGGAGACACACTGTTAGCCACCTGGCTAGCTTCTGATGGACATGAGTTCATGTGCCGCTGTAACTAGGCCTGTTTTCCTCACTACGATATTGACCGTTTAACTAGAGCAATAACATCAGGACATCACTCACATTTAATGATGTAGGTCTAGACAACGGACTGATTGGGTAATTTAGCGTGTTTGTTGCTTAAAAATGAGAAACGAGCAGGTCTTGCCAGCCCTCCTGAGTCGAGATCCAGCAGCTGTGAGTGTTAGATTAGCTGCACTTCACATCTGCTCTGATATCAGACGCTGTCCGAGCACAGAAGACCTTAGTATTTAAGGGCAGTGGCTTTTATGTGTTACACGCGGTATCTGATTTCTCGCCTGGCAGTGCAACCTCATCCGTTTCCATTGTGCTGCCCGGCGCATTGTCTTCAGTAAAACGCTCTTCTATAGGATGCCATCGACCTTTGGTCGTGTAGAAATGGTGACAGTCAGAAATCGCAGCTTGTGAAAATGGTAAAATTCTCCCAGGACTCTGGCAGTCTGTCACTAGCTGACTTGGGCTGGGTAAACGTTCCCACTGAGATCAAGGGATGTGATTGTTAAATGTTAAATTGGACTGCACTTGTAAAGCTTAGACAATACTGAGGACTTCTGATTATTAATAATTTGATCCAGATTGTATTAAAAAAATTTCAGCTGTACTGTTTTTGTGTATTGTCGAGGATTGCTGGAACTTCAGAAATGTACTTGTCTGTAAGATCAATGTATTTTGTAAAATGATAATACATTTTTGACCATATTTGGCCACATATCTGGAATTAGGGAATCTATTAACAAGTCATTGATGACTTAAAGGGTCATATGATGCTATTTCAAAGATCATTATTTTGTGTATTTATTTTGTAGAATATGTTGACATGCTTTAATGTTCCAAAAACACATTATTTTTCAAATACTGTACATTATTGTAGGTCCTCTATGCCCCGCCTCTCTCAAACACGTTGTTTTCTACAAAGCCCCTCCTTCCGACAAGCGCAGTCTGCTCTGATTGGCCAGCTGACCCAGTGCATTGTGATTGGCTGAACACCACAAGCGCGCGTCGGAAATGTAACGCCCCTTACCATAATCGCGAGCTTCAGCTTTCAAAGTAAATATCAAGACAGTTAATAATGTCCTTAGTTTTATCATCAGTTCAAGCCCGAAAGGGGAACAGAGTCGCGTGACAGACACAGTGATGATGCAGTACACAAGCCGCGGTTAAGACGGCTGACGTGCTATGATTTCTGACAGGCAGTTCACTCTCCTGTGATGTGACCCTGTTCCCCTCACACACACACACGACGCGTTACTCTGTGCTGCGCAAAACTCCGCATTTGAACAGTCAGTAGCAAATACTTAAACTAATAACAAAACATACTTACAG